CCAAGCTGTCATTGATTGATTAGCTAGGTTTATAACCTGTTCTTGTTACCATGGATATAGACCGAAAAATCAATGTTTTCCTAGGAGCATGGGGAGTCTTACTCTCCTGGGGAAATTTTTTGTAACTCACTACAGAGAAAAAGTCAATTTTCCAAGTGTATAAAGAATTCTCTGGAAATTGAGAAAAAAAGACCAACATCTCAACAAAAAGAACTCAAACAGAAAAATAAATACAAACGGTCCAGAATGTTGAAAGAAAAACTAACTTTATTCTGGCACATTGGTAGCCCAGTGGTAGTTAGCTGAATTAATGAATAAAGCCCTGGGTTCATCCTCAGCACCAACACAGAAGCACCTCAACCTCTTTGTTGTTCTGAAATTGACCTTGTGCAGTGTCTATATTGTAAGTCTTGTGTAAACTGTGCAATATACATATATCTCATGTATATCATGCAGCATCTCACGTATATCGTAGTGTCTCGTGTAAACTGTGCAGTGTCTTGTGTATATTGTAGTGTATGTATAATGTGCATTCACTCATGTATATGTGCAGAGGTGTGACGTCAGAGGACAGCTTCCAGGAATTGATTCTCTCCTTCCATCTTGTGGGTCCCAGAGATCAAATTCATCAGGCAAACCACTTTACTCATTGAGACATCTCAAAGGCTCTCAACTTTTGTATTAATGCTTTATTTAACAATCATGTGCAAGGTCCTGCAGAAAAGCACAAACCACAGACATGAAATTAAGGTACAATGCTGGGCAGTGGTGGCGCACACCTTTAATCCCAGTACTCAGGAGGCAGAGGCAGTCGGATCTCTGAGTTCGAGGCCAGCCTGGTCTGCAGAGTGAGTTCCAGGACAGCAAGGACTAAACAGAGAAAACCTGTGTTGAAAACCAAAACCAAAACCAAAACCAGAATTTAAGGTACAATATCAAAGGACAGTTAATGCATATGCCACCAAATTTTAAAAATATGTGTTTATGCCCAGGAGGCCTCAATCCTTCACAGAGAACCACAGACTAAGAAATGCTGAGAGCCAATCGTCTCCCCAAGGAAGAGCACACCAATTGGTTATCCAATACCAAATGGTCAACCCTGAAAAATTCAAATAACACTATATAGACTGCGTAGGTTGTATTTAGGAATATGTATGTATATACATAGATGTATATATGTAAGAACAATTAATGAAGAAAGAGGCCATGAACTTGAGGAGTGCAAGGAGGAGTATATGGAATGATTTAGAGCAGTGGTTCTAATCTTCCTAGTGCTGTGACCCTTAATACAGTTCCTCGTGTGTGGTGACCCCGGCCATAAAATTGTTTTCGTTGCTACTCATAACTGTAATTTTGCTACTGTTATGAATTGTAATATAAATATCTGATATTTGGATGGTCTTAGTCAATGTTAGATTCAAAATTAAGCCCCACCTGCCCAAGGACCCGGTAACTTCCTGAGATTCTAGGAATTGTAGTTCTTGGAAACTGACAGCAAAGCCTCATGGGAAAGTATGGTGGCCTGTGGGTTTTGCCCATATTAAGCTCCACCAACAGTGTCTTGGGACCACTTACCCGGAAAGTTTCCAGTTGATGATCCTGGCCATACTCCATCTTGGTCAGTATTTAGTATTTTTAACAAAAGCTTGCTTAAATTCAGCCAAAATGGTCGAACTGTTTTTTTTCTGGCGTATTTCAGGATTAATAGTCAACCCCTGTGAAAAGGGACATTCGACCCTAGAAGGGTCTCACCCCACAGGTTGAGAGCTATTGATTTTTAGATTTCTAAAAACAAAGCCTGCTAAGCACTCACCCGTGGTGGGAAGCAGGCTGTCTGCTTCTAAGCTGTGTGGGTGACCTGATGGCAGTGCCTCTTGCTAATTGTTACTCATAGTCTAGCCTTATTCTCTGTAATTCAGGTTCACTCTCGGGAGTTCCTTCACTAGGCTCCATTTCCACTGGTTCATGTGCCCTCCTTTCAGGAGACATCTGATCTTGTCCAAGAGCCCGACTCTGTTATTTCTAGGGTGTATCCTGCTAGCAGTACTGGGAATGTAATGATGATGTCTAAGGGCTTAATTTTATAAGGAGGCAATTTCAAAGAGGAATTCTTGGCACCCTCGTGAGTGAGGAACTGTACAGGCTTGAGGGACTTGTAAGGACTCAGTTAACAGCCTGAGTATGGAGTGGGGCACACCTCTTATCCTTTTGAATCAGCAACTCTAGTCATGGTCAACCTGAACACTCGGGCCTTTTGTGTCCTACCTAACATCCTCAGTTATGCTTCGATTGCTTCAGTGTTCTCCTGTAGGGTAAAAAGTCTGAGCTCACTTCCAGGTTCTGAAAACCCACCAATCCCCGGGGCTCACCCCAAGCTCAGGACTGGAAATCACACCAATTCCCACCCTTGAAAATCCTGCCCCCCAGAAAGCCTGTATAAGCCTGTCTCCTGCTCAGTTAGCTACCTGCTGCCGCTGCTTGCCCCAGCAGAGGCAGCCACCTCTTGTGTCTCCCAATAGAGCTCTTGTCCACGTGAGCATGTGGCTCTAGCAGGCCTTGTTTGCCCTTCTCCCATCCCCTCTGCCTTGCTATAAAAACCATTAGATTACACCTCTAACGCTGGCCATCAAGGTCTCGTCCCATATTTGCCCACTTCCTCCTCCTGAGGCTGACTACCAAGGTCCAGCAACCAAAAGCCCCATTTGGTTCACCTAATATGCCCAATCAAAATATACCACATCCTATAGGGTCCTTGTGTAAGAATGGACTAGGATGCGGTGATAGATTTTCTCACCTTCAAAGTTACACCTGCAAGGTCATTTGCTGCTGTTTTCTGAGTTAGAAAGCAGCCACTTTAATTTTTCTTCCTCACTTAATAAAGGATCTCTCTTCGAAAACAGGTGCTTGTTTGTGGTTTGTGCCTAATCCAAAGACCCAGGAGAGAACCTCTGCTGTGTGTGTGTGTGTGGGGGGGGGGTCTCCTTCAGTTGTGCAGAGTGACTTTGTGATATTCCTTGGCTCCAGACTGCCAGAATACTTTTCCCCTCAGAGCTATAACACACCTTCACTTCATGATCACCTGGATAGCTAGTCTCCATATTCAATACCCACTGTTGAAATGATCCTTGTGGGTTCACTTTCTTTGACTTCTTTTAGAAGTGTGTCTTGCCAGCATGTGTCTCTGTGCATCAAATGTGTGGCTGGTGCCCAAGAAGGCCAGAAGAGTTACAGATAATTGTGAGCCAACATGTGGGGGCTGAAAATTGAACCCAGGTCCTCTGGAAGAGCAGCCAGTTGCTCTTAGCTGCTGAGCCATCTCTCCGGCCCTGCTTTTATTTGCTTCTTTGAAACAGGGTCTTCACTTTGTAGCACTATGGAGACAAGGACGACCTGGAACTCAGAACTACCTACGTCTGCCTTCAGAATGCTGGAGTTAAATGCATGAGCCACTACATCTAGCTACATCAAAATGTTTTTTCTTGTAGACCTCTGTTGTAGGTTGTTTTGTTAACCAGCGAGCTTTCTGAGGCTACCTGCTGCATGGGTGAGCAGAGGTTGCTTACAGGCCCATGGTGACAAGACAGCTGTTGAATTCCTGAAAAGCCCACTCCAGAATGGGTACCACTCACCAAAGCTGCATCCAAGGAACTCCCTATGCAACTTGCAGGAGTTTCATGAAGAATCTTCTCTTCTAGCAGTTGTTACTGTTTATATGACCCTGGGGAGGTTGTTCAGTTTATTTTTGAGACAGTCTAAAGAGAACCCAGGGCAGAGCAGCTCTAAATCTCAGATTGGCTTCGAAGTCCCTGTGTACCTGAGGGGTCCTGATCCTCCTGCCCATTCAAAGTGGTGGGATAGTCGTCCCACACACACTCTCTCCCCACCCCACCCACTGTGCGTGTCACTGAGTATTGAACCTAAGCCCTTGGGGCTGTCAGGAAAGTATTCAACTTGTTCTATTTCAAGTCTCTTTATTATTTATTTATTTGGAGGGGGTGGTTTGAAACATGGTTTCTGGATGTAGCTCTGGCTGCCCTAGAGCTGTAGATAGACTGGCCTTAAACTCAAGAGATCCACCTGCCTCTGCCTCCTGAGTGCTGAGATTACCATTTTTGATCCGGCTGTTCTTTGTTCACAACAGGCTTGTAGGTCTGCCACTATCCTATCTGGAAAGCCTAAATTTTGTTCCAGTGATTTAAAAAATACATCAAAACAAAACAATCCAAAAAAATTTCAATGCTCCATTTCTTCCTTGCTGAAAAAATTCCTAATTTGAAACTCTTAAAACTAGCTGTAGGTCGGGTGGTAGTGGCGCACACCTGTAATCCCAGCACTCAGGAGGCAGAGGCAGGTGGATCTCTGTGAGTTCGAGGCCAGCCTGGTGTACAGAGCTAGTCCAGGACAGGCTCCAAAGCTACACAGAGAAACCCTGTCTCGAAAAACCAAAAACAAAACAAAACGAAACAAAAAAACCTCGCTGTTTGTGGTGGCTTGTGCTGTTACACATACACTGAGAAGGCAGAACTATGAGGATCACAAGTTCAAGGCCAGATTATTCCTCACAGTTAAGAGAGTAGCAGGGGTCTAGGAACAGGAACAAAATATACTACACACATATATGAGAATGGCATACGTCTTACACCCATTACCCATTATGTATATTCTAACACAAAATTAAAATGCTAAACATGACAAAAAGCAGCCACATGGAGTAGTACAAACTTGAGCTTTATAAACACCATGGAGTATTTTAAAAACATTTAATGTTACTTTGACTATTTTCAGCATGATTCAGAATTTCAAAGTATTAAAGATGTCTCTCTGAGAAACTTCGTTGTGCCCTTTCTTCTCTTAATCCTCCTGCTTAAAATCTTAATTAAAAAAGCCTTGTAGGACAAGCAAGATGGCTTAGTAGTCCAGTCTCTGTTGCTTGGATTCTAATGGCTCCCTCTAGGGAGGGGGGTGAGAAGGCGCAGCGTCAATAACACAGACACCAGGAGTCCACTGAAGGGAATAACAAACTCATTTATTCAATAACAGGGAAGGCCTTATATACTGTCCTCCCAGCACCCAGTCTATGTGGTCATCCCACATTGACTGGGCACAATCAGGAACTCTGACACTGATCAGGAACCAACAGTGACTGTTGCTAGGCCCTCAGGCAAACTCAGCATGACCAGGAATCCTGACAGCTCCTGTTGCTAGGCCCTCAGGCAGACTCCAGGTTGGCTCATATGGAGTACATTATATGCATGCTTTGGCAATTGGTCTGAGCCAATTTCCTCGACCCTATGGGCCTGTCCTACTACAAGTTTCCAGAAACTTCATACTAAGAACCAACTCTTCCAAGTTGCCCTCTGACCTCCACAAGCATGCTGCAGCACACTGCTGCCAGCCTTCACAATAAATGAATGCAAAATAATTTTTTTTTTTTGTATGTAGCTCTTGCTGTCCTGTAACTATGTAGACCAGGCTGGCCTCAAACTCAAAGAGATCTGACTGCCTCTGTCTCCCACGTGCTCAGATTAAAAGCGTGTGCCACTATGCCCAGCAACTTTGTTCTTAAGTTTTATTGGAGTTTTGTTATAATGCATAACGTCTAATTTTTATGTAGCCAAGTTTTGTTTTGGCTTTTGAGATAGAGCTTCACTTGGGCTGGGAATGTAGCTCAGTGAGAGAATGCTTACTTAGCATGAGTGAGGCTGTGGGTTTCCTCTCTAGTACCACAAACAGGGTCTTAATATGCAGCCCAGCTTGGCCACTATATCAAAATCCTCCTTAGCCTCGATAGGATTGGCATGTATCACCATGCCTGGTTGTAACCTTTTTTTTTTTTTCTACTAAAGTGTAGTAAAATAAACATGAGAGCCAATTATTTACTAATCATTCTTTTAATTAATTAATTATATATGTTTTAGAACTCACAGAGATGCCCCTGCCTCTGCCTCCCAAGTACTGGAATTAGTTAGGCATGTACCACCATGCCCGGCCTCTTTTTAATTTTATTTTAAACATCTGCACAGCTTTAATATTTTGAGAAAATTAAATGTTTCCCATAAAAATGAGGAAAAAAACAGTTCACTAATGACCAATAAGAAAATGTAACACTCTTTAACACACAGGTATAAACAGTAGGAATAACAGAAAGGCTAAAAGAGAAACTACAAATTTCAAAACCAACTCCAGTCAAGATGAGGTCCCCATGGACAAGCAGGTAGAGAAGTCAAGTATATAAACTCTAACATACCACTTCATGGCCTGTTTTTCTTCTTCCCTTTGGTCATGAACTATCCCAGAAAGATTCACTGTGATAACTTTTAATTTCGAGTTCAACACTTAAAGCATTAAGGTAAATTGCTCTTAGAAAAAAATTATATCAAGATAAACATAAAAACAATCTCAAAAATGGAAGAAAAAGCTCAGGCCAAACATTGCACTAGGACAGTTCATTATATTAACAATAAATGGATGCCAGGACACCAGAAGAAATACTATTGGATCTATGATTTGCTAAAAGTTGTTTGTCTTAATGAAAGGAAAGATAGTAGTACAAGTTCAATTTCACAAGATAAAGTCAGTATCCTTTGGATTTACCTTTCAGGGCAAGCATGGGCAAACACCACACACCACTTCCTATCTCTGTGCAAAAAAACAAATAAAAGTCTGAGCCAGTAAGCAATAAGGACGGGAATGCACGGTCCTGCAGTAAAGTCCTTTTTCTAGAAGAGATCAGTAAAAATATCACAATATTTACAAAGATACCACAGTGTGAAAAGCTGTAAACCTAAAATATTGTCACTTAACAAAGAAGGGATGAAAGAGAATGTTCTGCCACAAGAAATTCAGTGCCCACTTTGGACCCAGTTTCTGATACAGTTCCAGTGACCTCTAACTGCCAGCCCACCACTCAGCCCTATCCCACTCTTAAACCCTTTTGTGCTATCAACCTAGCAGCCTTTAGTCAACTAGTTGATGTAGATCCTAACCCATCTTAAATCAAAGGAAAGGCTGGGATGCTTAGATTAAAGCAGGTCTGGGAATGAACTACTTAGTGTTATGGAAGCCACCCATGTGGATTCCTTACCCATTCAAAACAAAAGAAAGGCCATAAAACTTGGGAGTTTTGGAAAGGGAATGGTACCTGAAGATGTCCTGACCAAGGCATTTTTATAGCTATAACTGTAAAGATGGTCACAATTAGAACATAGCAGTTGACAACGGAAACAATTAAGGACCTTTCCTTATCACTGACTTTTGCAGAAACATATTTGTAGATTCTTCCTGTGTAACCATACCTTAAAAAAAGGAGAGTAAGTGTGCTTGCTGAGCGGAAATAATGGCACATCTTAAGATTTTATGACTGAAAAGAGCTAGCTTTACAATACAGCTTTACTAATTACAGAACACTCTCTTTACTCATGCTTTGCTTGGTTTATCTCTGAAACATCTGAATAATACTTTTCTGTGAATTACTAGGCTGCTGGGAATAAATGCTCTTGGATGCATTACTACAATCATCTTTAGCTGGACCTGGCATCTTTCTTCCATTAACTGAATCCTTCCAAGTGCTTTTAAAGGGTTGCCAATATTCATCTTTTGTGCTCCTCTGAGATTTCGAACGCTCTGAATTAGTCTGCTTTCCGGAGTTCCTATCTCTGGAATTCTTCCTCTGTTTATTCAGCAGCCTGTCTGGGGGCGAAGATGTGCGCAACTGGTACTGATCTGGGGACCCTTTCTGTCGGTTTAGCATCATTTGCTCTTTATCCACCTCCTTCTGAAGTTGCAATGCTAACAACCGGTCCTGTTCTTCTTGCTTATGTCTCTCAAAAAGCATACGTTCCAAATCTATCAGTTTTTGTGTAAAATTCCCTTCTGATTCTTCTTGATCTGAGGATTTGAGGAAAACTTTCCTCCTTTTTGCAGAAAAGCATGGATCCATGACTGCTTCCAACACAGATTCTTGGTTTTCTCTCTCAGAAATCTCTTTTCCAAGTACTAGATGATACACTCTACTTTCTGGAACTCTGTTACCACCAATGCACTCTTCATTTTCTATTTTACCAGAAGGATTAACTGTAGCTTCGTTAGAGTAGGAAACTTTGGCTTTAGGTCCCTCATGATTTGCAACACTTAAATCATCAGGATTGGTTGACAGTGTTTCAACTGTTCCTTCAAGGCACTGTTCGGCATCCCTGGCAAATAACCATGGCACAGGTGATTCTCTCAAAGACTCTGAACCTTGTTCTTGAGTTTCTAGGCATATCTGCGGAGAAAGTGTTGGCATATCTTCTTCAATTTCTGTGTCTTGCCACACAGGGCTCTTTGGGTCACTACTGTCAGTTTCCTGTAAGGAACAAAATTACTGACTATATAAAAGGAAAACATTATATAAGCCACCTGATACACTGACACCAGAGGTGAACAGTCACTATACACTATCACATAGTACTAATAAGTGTGTTCCCATCACCTCTGCCCCCCTTTCCTTCACATAGTACTAATAAGTGTGTTCCCATCACCTCT